AGTATCTTGCCTGGGCTTACTGGCAAAATGTTTAACTTCATATGTTATTACAGTTGATCCTTATCTGACTTTTCACAGTAATAATTTTCAATAGGAAGTCTGTCTTCTTTTTTTCCTCTTCAACTTAGCATAGCACAGGAAATGACACCAGACCATTAGGGAACACCTATGTGTCTAGTTGCTTGGTACGCATGCAATCCATGGAGTAGACAAAAGAAAATATGTTTGTAAAATGTAACCATTGCCTTCTGAAGAAAAGTAGTTTAAACTTAATATTGTTAATTCAACTTGTAGCCCACCTTAGATGATTGCAGCCATTAAGCTTTTTGCTATGCTGTAAAATGGTAGTTCAGCATACCTTGATTACAAGATAAAACTAAGTACTTGACTGGAAAAGAACTATATTAATGTGAAAGGCTAATTGCATAAAAGCAAAACTTGTATTCTAAAACATGCACTCAAAAATACACGCAATTATAACTTACTATCCTAAAGGCAACATTAAAATAGATTACACCTTTCTCATGACCATTTTATTTAGGCAATCACCTGAGAGGAAACTTACTTGTTTGTTCATTGTAATTCTCCATGGGTCTGTTTGTGAATACTATTTTTCTTGATGCTTACTTCAAGAGGTAATTTGAATTTACTTCGGTGCATTGTGTTTGCCCAAGACCGTATGATAAGGCTGCAAAGAAACCTAAACTTTATTTCTTTACACACCCATTCAATATTTTTTATCACTATTTTCCATCATTCTGATTTTGTGTTGAGGTTGAACATTAAAAGGATGGTAGTTTGAATCTTTGATTTTAATTCTATTGAGAGAGGTTTATCAGTGTTCAAGACCGTTCCCTATTGATGTCCTCTCTGGTACTTGGAACTGTAGTCTTGAATCTCATTTTAATATTGTTTCAGCAAGCACTTGCTTTACTGCTAAATTGCGACAGGCATGGTTTAGAGAAGATCCTTTACTTAATAATTGAGTAGGGAAAAATAATCTAACTAATGGACAGTATAAAGTATCTAACTCTTTAAAAAGGCAGTGCTGTGCTAATTTAGTTCCTTTCATCCTAGCCCTTTGATTTTTTTTTTAAATAATAGAAACTTGTATAGAGGGTTAAGTTTTAATTAAAACTAAACTGTCTACTGAAAGCTGCAATTTTTATCACAATCACGTGTTGTCCTTCTAACATGGTTAGAAGGTTGGTTTCATGAAGCAGTAGAATTGAAGAATGAACATGTATTCTTCCACCTTGAAGGCCCGAGTACAAATCCAACTCAGGCTGCTGGAATAAGACTAATCAATCTGGATAGAACTGATGTTGGAAATATTTGGTTAATCTCAGCTTCGTTAATCTTGATGAGCTTTGGCAGTGTGGAAAGCAATTTATATCTAACTGAATTGTACTAGTGTTTTCCAAAACATTTACTCCTTTAGACTAAATAAATTTCTTTCTGATAAGTTTAAAAGAAAAGGAGCAATGTCACTTTTTGATAATGTGACTGTAAACTTGTACTCACTTGGCAGGTACAATTTAATATAACTTTTTTGGTAAAGTGGCAAAATGCAAAATAGTGTTTTTGCACAGAGGATGGTAAGTGCCTGGAATGCGCTGCCAAAGGAGGTGGTAGAGCAGATACAATAGCTATGTTTAAGAGGCATCTTGACAGATGCATGAAAACACAGGGAACAGAGATATGGATTGAATAGAGGCAAATGGTTTTTAGTTTAGAAAGGCGTCATTTGTCATCTCGGGCTTGGTGGGCCTAAGGGCCCGTTTCTGGTTTGTCCTGTGCTTTGTTCTAATGGACAGGTAGTTTTTGATCTTATAGTAAGTGAATTTTGATAGGTATGTAGACAAGCTAGCTATATTTTATGAATATAAATAAAGTGCATGATACTAAAATTAGTGTATATAGCTAAAATGGTATAACCATAGCTATATTTATGACTAGTCAGCATTTTTTATTGGATAACACTACTGTACCTAACCTAGGGATATAATGCTGACACCATAACAAATGTTCTCATATAACTAATATGGTTCCTCCGTGGACTGACTTCTGTCACTTGAGTATTGCTGAAAAGATAGGCATGCTATTGAAGCCGAATTACAAAGGGAGCAACAACTTATTTTGCATAAGAAACCAGGTGCTGATTGTTTACCAAGTGACTATATGTAAATACTCTTAAGTTGAGGTACAGTTTCTGACTGAGAAAAGAGAATGTTACTGTATAATATTAATATTCCTAGATTATTTATTCAATTTAAAACACATCTGGCAAATGTTTTTAAGTAGATCTTTTGTCTTTTGTTCCAGGCCGAGACTGCAAGCACAAAGGAAATTTGCCCAGTCACAGCCCAACTCCCCCAGCACAACCCCAGTCAAGATGGTGGATCCAGTCTTGCCACCACCTGCAACGCAGATTATTGATCTTTCAAAACGAAAGCCCAAAACAGAGGATTTCTTAACTTTTCTTTGCCTTAGAGGTATGCTGAATAGTAATTTTGTATCGAACAACAATGTAATTAGAGCCTATATATTTGAATACTTTAAAATTTTTGTTACACTTCTCTAGAGATAAATTACTTTTAGACATTTGAATTTCCAGTCTGAAAGGATTACATGACAAAATTAAATTTTAAAGCTTTTACTGTAATAAGCAAACTAAAAGCACCATTTTCACGACACTGTTTAGCAGGCAAGTTATACTCTAAATTACAGAAAAGGTTTCCTATTAGCTTCTAAAACAGCAATACATGGTTATCCTTTGTTCCATCCTTTTAAGTCAACACTCAATTCTCTAGAAACAATCTAGTGTGATTCTCCAGCAAAACTAAACAAATCTTCCAGCTTCATTTAAACTCTCATGAACTTGGTTTCTTCAATCTAAGCACACCTTCCAGTCTGTGTTCTGTATGCTGAATCAAAGAGATTTGCTGCCTCTGTTTCTCTGCCTGCATACACTCAGGATGCCTGTACCCATCTGTGTCTGAGGTTCATTGATAAAAAGCTGTAAAACCTGTAGCCCAATCTTTCAGTGGCTGCCTTTGGATTCTTCCCCTCTCAAAACTCATCTCCACAGCAATGTGATCCACATGGGCCTTATATCAGGCAGAATTGCTAAATAACTATCTTCTACATTTCCAAATTCATTCTACCTTAGAATTTAAATAGACAGTATCACCACTTGCAAACTCCTCCTCGGCACTTGGAAGATTAATAGTTAGTCCAATGTCAGCATAGATGCTAAAGTAATTGTTTATAGTAATTGAATATCTTGTACCACCACCTAAAATCATGAGGGGTATAGATAAGGTGAATAGTAGACCCCAGGATGGGAAATTTCAAGACTAAGGGGCATGAGGAGCAATTTTTTTTTAAACAGTGTGGTTTGTATGTGGAATGAACTTCCAGAGGATGTGGTGGATCAGTACATGAAGTAAGAAATGTCTGGAGGGATATGGGTCAAGTGCAGGCAGGTAAGATTAGTTTAGTTTGGGATTATGGTCAGCATGGACTGGTTGGACTGAAGCATTTGTTTCCGTACTATATGACTGTAGAATAACCTGTGCCTCTACCTGTCCCCACAAACAGATAAAGCGCCCAGGTTTGTTTGACTGAATTCAGAACAGATCAAAAGATCCTGTTCATTTTTCCATTTACCCTAAATTAGAAAGTTAGTCCAAAACACAACTGTTTAAACCTGTAATATTTGAAACCTTATTAACACATTTTTTTTCAGGAATTTGGTGACAACTTATGTCATTTAGCAAATTTTGTTTCTACCAACAAAGTTAATTGTCATGAATAGTTTGTATCATAAGCAGCTAATATCAGAATATATTTGGTTATTTCCACACAGCATTTTGAGATGTGAAATCAGAAAAGCTTCAACAATTAATTACTTTAACAGATTAGAAATTAAGTAATTGACATTTCACATCGTTATTACTTAACATGTTACACTGGAATAAAATCATTGATACTGAAAAGGAGAACAGTTGCTTGTCGCAGGTGGTAATTCAACATGATTTCTGAAATAAGAGTACTTCAATGCATGACGGGGAATTATTCAATCGTAGACGTGGCTAATTCCCGCCTTCTAGGCAGGCAGTCAGTTTTATGAGCCCCAATTCTCATTGTTTATAATTGTGATAGAAAAGGAGTAAATTGAAAATGCAGGCCTCTCCCTGTTTTCCTCCAACCAAGCCTAAGTACTAATACATTAGACAGATCTACCGCCACTCGTACTTCTAACACTGGCACAGACTAGAATAGCGTCCACTTATACTGGAGTTCTGCGATCTTTCATCTCTTGAGTATATATAGAGTTATCAAATTATATCATTTCTGGTGCAAAGAGAAAGAAGGGGCACGGACCATCTTAACAATTCTGAGCAGGTACAGTCTGAAATAAACAAATGCCATTAAAAAAATTGATGGAAATATTGAGCGCAGCTGGCAACACCTTTTAGAGAGATAAAAATAGATTAACATCTGATATCAATTCAATGGTTTCTCATTTTTTAGAATACAAAGTGATTTGGTAATTGCCTTCCAACAAGCCCAAGGATAAAAAAGATGAATATAACCCTGTCCACCTGGCAAAACGTTTATTCTTGACAATTAAAATCACCCAAACTATTTATCTGTTCAGGAACTACCAAGAACAGAACTTTAATTGCAGAACGCGATCCCCAAACACTAATGAATCTTGAAATCCAATGTAATAAAACGGCCTTCAACTTATTCAGTAACTTTGGGGTTATGGTCTACATTCTAGTATTGTACTCAGTTGTTTTTACTTGCTTTATTTTGAGTTGCTAGTTTGTTTTGAAGCTGTTCTCTACCATTTCTCAGTATTTCTCACATGAATTCTATAATAAATGAAGTTATATTTAAATGAAGTTATGTTGTGGTCGCGTTTGAGTAGGGGTAGCTGTGCGCTGCTTCCTTCAAAGCTTTGCCAGATCTGAGCGTAATTTGTACTGTTGCTGGGTTCCTATAATGAAAATGGTTCACTTCCCAAGCAATGATATCCTTGGCTTTAGTAAGCATACTAAAATGGTGAAGCAAAAGAATGAAACACAGACTTTGTGTAACACGCTTCCTTACATAAGTAAATTTAGGGAATAGGCAATTATAACCTTGATTTTGAAATAGTCTATCAATGCAATGGCTCCCTCAAAAATATACAAATCTTACTGTAGCTTTTATGACGTGTTTGTATTGCAAGAAGATTTGATTATACAGATGATTGCTGTAAAGGAACAACAATCATTAATTTCTAATTTGGGAGGTTATTGCAATTACCAGAATTACCCAGTTATAATTGTCCATACTTTAAATTTTCTGACTTTGTATATGATGGCTTTGACTATTTCTGGTGATTCAGGAAATACATGGATTATGCTTGGAGCCATAGGCATTGATTCTACTTAAAAATCTTCTTTAAATGTGTTTGACTATTGGCTACAGTTTTTCTGTGGAAAAAGAAGAGAATTTGTCTGATGGACTTTATTTTGTTTCATGTAGTTATATTTGTACTTGTATTTGTAATTGTAGGGTAATTGCTAACTTTTGCCACTAAATGCTGGCTAGGATTTGCTTCCTATCTTAGTTTACTGTCACACAGTTGTCCACTGTGTTCCTTGCAATAATGCTGGGAGAGAAGTAGTTTTCATATTAATGGCTAAGTTTTCAAACTTGCTTCAGTTGTACTTGACAGTTGACATTAATTAGTTGGTGTGCCATCACAGTAGCAAGTGTTGTCTTCCTTCTGGTTCTAAACAGATCTTGGCAGAAAATAATAAATACTGGGGAATCTTACCAAATGCTATATTTTACAATGTGTAAACTTCTTGATTGCCATATTGAGTAATATCTCAATTTAAGAAAATGAATAATGTGCTGTTACTGTTTTTTTAGTTTCTGATTTTACATTACTCCTCTGAATTGTAGTTTATATTAATTTTTTGCAGCAGAACCGAGATAAATCCATTAAGCCTAGATCTGAAATTTGATTCCTCCTGTAACATAAAGGACTTTTTTCAGAAGAAAATGGGGATACTGAAAAATATCCATATTTGAAGATTGGCTACCCTATAAGTTTTTAGGCATCAGAATTATAACCACTATATTTAGTGTATAGTTTCTTCATGGGAACAGAGCCAACAAACCTTTTCGAAATAATTTTACCATTATGTAGGCTGGCTTTGAACTATTCTGATGAGAAGTCTTGGTTTGAAACATTTAACATTGTCTCTCTCTCTCTCTGTGACTGATGCTGCTTGACCTGCTGAACGTTTCCAGCACAAACAAACAAAAGCAGTATTGGATAAATTGTAGGTTTCTTTTTTGAGGATGGAGCTAGTAAGATGGATAAGTGGCTTCCAATGGATTTTGTATATTTAGATTTTCAAAACGTATTTAATAATGTCATGTAAAAGATTATTGCTTCAAATTGGGGCTCATGGAATTGTAATTTATTAGCATGGATTAAGTGTAGGGATTGGGATTGCAGATAAGGTATAAGCATGGGTTAAGGATAGGTTAGTCGTCTGAAAACAGAACGACTAAACTGGACATTTTAGAGTTGGCAGGCTGTAACTAGTGAGGCACAGGATTGGCTGTTTATAATGTATAGTAATGACTTAGATGAGAAGACTGAATTTAGCAGATCCAAGATTGCTGAAAATACAAAGTGGGAAATTAAATACAAACTGAGCAGTCAGAAGGATGCAGTGGGCCTGATTCCTTCCTGTCCTGGATTGCAGCAAAGCCTGTCAGTGCTGGCTAATTTGGGCAAAAATGGCAGACAGTTCTGGAAGTGGTCTTCAGTCACACTGCACTACAAGAAGTAGCAGAAGATAGGTATTGGAAAATCACAATTTTAGGAGACATAATTCTATTTTGATCAACTAAATCATTTTTAAAAATACTTAAAAAGTTTAATATGCTAAAATGTTAGTGGGCTACTTTTTAAAAGCCTGATCTATACTAAGATGCTTTATATTAACAAATGGAAAACCAGTATTCATTTTAACTAAAATGTTGTGGGCTCTTTATTAAGTATTTACATTTAAGGACAGGCATCTTACACCTGGAAACAGGGACGCAATTCAGACTTGGTGAACAATTAGTACAAATTCACCAGGATCTTTACGTGGCATTTGAAATCATAAGCATTAGTTACAATTATCTAGATTTTCAGTTTGGATGTTATCTGATTTCACATCTAGCTTGCCTAGATTTAATTTTAGGATTAATGCTAATCTTAATTTTTGCATCCCTTGTTTTGGATTCGCCTACCAGTGGGAGTAATTTTTCTGTTTCTATCCCATTAAATCCATTTTTTTTTGTTAGATCAATTAGATCACCACTTAGCCATTGAAAATCAAGAAAAAAACCTAACATGGACCAGATTTGACTCTAGATAGGTTTTCAAAATGTCATGAATACTGTATGGGAGGGAACACTACTTATT